AGAGGTTGTGGAGTCTCCTTCTCTGGAGACATTCAAAACCCACCTGGACACATTCCTGTGTGATGTGTTCTAGGTGATCCTGCCTGGCAGGGGGGGTGGACTGGGTTCCAACCCCTAGGATTCTGTGATTCTGTGGTTCTGTGATTCTGTGCTAGGAAACTGACTTGGCAAGAAAAACTGACTCTTGTTGAGGTGACAACAACAGAAGGAATTTCAGCTTCTATTGGTTACTCTAGGTCAGTGGCTTTCACAGAGTCACAGTATCACAAAAGGAAGGAATTGGAAGAGACCTCTGGAAATCATCTAGTCCAATCCCCCTGCTAGAGCAGGATCCCCTAGGGCTGATCACATGAACAGGCGGGTTTTGAATGTCTGCAGGGATGGAGACTCAACAACCTCCCTGAGTATCTTGTTCCAGTGCTCTGTTAACCTCAGAATAAATATGTATTTTCTTATATTTAGGTTAAGCTTCCTGTGTACCAGTTTGTGATCATTTCCCTTTCCCTGGAAGGAACAGGTAGGATGGGAATGACTGCAGACACATCCAGACCAACCTCACCTGGCTCCTCTTTCCTGTCTCTCGAAGCAGCACAAGACACCAAGGGGCTGGTGGGGGCATGAAGGTGATGGGGTCTGGCTGATGTTAGAGCAAACCTCCACCCCCACTGAAAAGCCTGCAGGGCTCCTTGGGGCCCCAGGAGAGGCTGGATAGGTTGTAGGGGATTTGCCTGTGTCTGCAAGGAATGTATGGCATCTCCTCCACACCAACAGTGGGAGCTTATCAGGAGTTTCCTTCAGATGCCTTCACGTCTGCACAGGCAGCAGCCCTCTGGGCTGGGGTGGCTTGGTTCTGAGAAGCCCAGCCCAGGCACCTGCATCCTGGCCTTTACTTCCCCTTTTGAGGGAGCAAGTGCAAATCCCACATGGCAGCCATGGCTCACTGCCAACATGAGTCATGCCAGCTGTTGGATGGTCTTTGAACTCCCTGTGGCAGGTATGATAAAGGAGAACATGGTCCTGAGGCTGACAGCTGGCGTTTGGGTAGTTCACTGATTGTACATGGACATTGATTAGTTGGTTCCTCACTCCACAAAGTGTCCATATCACAGCTAGCAATGAAGATGGTTTGTCTATGGCTTTAGCATCATCTCTTGAAGTATTTACAGGTGTAGCTTACGTGTGTGGCATGTAGGGATATGGTCCACCCTTAAATGTCTGGTGACTGTGAAGGAGGACAGTGTTGATTATGGTCTTAGTCTTGCTCCAGCAGCACAGAGGGAACAGGTATGGATGTGTTCCTGTCATCAGTCTCTGCTCTGGTTTTGCTCTTTGAGACTGTTAATGTGTCTGGAGGAGGAATGAGGCAGAGAAGATAGCACAAAATGGAGTATAAGAGGTTTTGTCAGTGGCACCATTTGAGAGAGTGTACTCATTGCATCCCGAGGGGGTGACATGGTCACACTGTGCTGTCTCTGGGATACAGTCATAGTCAAGGTAACATCCAGGTCAGTGTGCTGGCTCCACCAGGCTCTGCAACTTCAGACCACCCAGTTCCCACTCACTGTCTCCCCCTCAGCCTGCAGCTTTTCCCCTGTAATCTCTCCTTTCAGACTACAGGTGTTCATACTCCTCCAGGAGAAAGTCTGGCTCCTCTTATCTCCAGGGTGATGATGTCCTGTGAGCCCTGTGTTTTCCCCAGCTTTCTCCATATCTGTGGATTGAAAGCAGACCCAAGCAGGTGGCTCAGAGCTTGGTGGAAATGTTTGCACCAGCAGGTGGGACCCTGGGCTTGAGCAGGTCAGGAGAACAAGATACTCATGGTCGGGGATGGGGTGGGGAATGGGGGAGCAGCAGATGAGGAGCTAGCAGGACTTTGGTGGAAGTCCCATAGGTACCCCAAGTCCCTTGTGAGATCTGAGGTGCTCCTGTGCCTCTGTTTCTCTCTGTTAAGTGCCCTTTATGGAGGAGACTGTCCAGGGCTTTGCCGAGAGGGAAGCTAATGGGCTGCCTCAAAAAACACGACTCTTTTCTGCATATAAAAATCACCCAATTTGGTTTGGAAAGCCAGATGAAGAGCAGGGGGACAAGATGGCCCAGGGTGGAGCAACCCAGGCGCTCTCTGCTCTGTTGCCTAACAATGGGGCCAGCACTGCCCTAGGGAACCCCTGCTCTCAGCTCTACCTCCAGTGACCAACAAGAGGCAAGTAGTTCTTCTGCTGACACCTCTGCCTCGAGATCTGCTCCAGCTGAGTGAGCTTTAGCTGTCTTGGGCAGGGGACACCATGTTCTTAGACGACGAAGACAAAATCTCTGAAGGAGGGCAGGATACCACCGGTGCGCCACAACAGCCCTCCAAGTCCTACGTGTGCCCAGAATGGTAAAAGCTGGCCTGGTTTCACTGGAAAGGAGCATGCATGGGTGATGTGCCTTTGACCAGTTTCAGGGCAAGTGGCAGTGGTGTGCAGGGGGAGAGAGAAGGCTGTGAAGGATGGTGTCCTGGCAGCGTGGGGTTGGGTAGCAGCATGGAGAGCAAAGCTGTCTGCCAAGAGACAGATATCTGGGGTGTCTGCAACTCATGCAGTGCCTGAATGGGGGAGAGGAGGAGCTAGGTGTGAGACCATGGGGTGTGGGTGCTCTCAATATGCTAAGTGTGGTCTTCTCTGGACATCTAAGGCCATACCAGTGGAGTAATGGTCTCTCTGACCTGGTCTTGTTTCCTAAAAGGGCCCTGGAGATGTCTCAGTATGTTCATTTGGCCTGATGCATTTGGCAAGCTGTCCACGGTGAGGAGCTCCTCTGCTGTGCTGTTTGCTCATGTTCCTCTCACTCTGGGAACAAGTTAATGCTCCACCAGCAGGGCTGAAGCTAATGGAGTGGTGACGTTCCAGCTGTTGATTAGTGCAATTAAGAGATAAATGAGCTTCAGAGTGCAGAGGAAACACGTTCACTGTCAAAGAGTGTCAGGGAAGTTATTCCTTGCAGAAGCATAGCTGCCCTGGAGTCCCTGGAGTGGTCATCCTTCCTAGGGCTGTTCTAGCAGGAGTCTCGGGAGAGGGGTTGCTGTTCACTTCAGTACTGTAGGTATCAACACTGACACTATTAGTGAGTCTTGGTTGTGCCAGGATTTTCTTCTACAAGCTGAGGCTTTTATTACTAGTGTTGAAAGCACACCTGTCTTAGGAAAGAAAACGGGTTTTGTTCCACAGGTGTTTGCTTAATGTGTGATGGAAAACACAGCAAACTCATCATAGGGTCAATGTTGAGTGAAGTTTCAACATCTGAGTCAAGCTAAACATCAGGAGGCAGTGCAGAGCCAAGTGAAAGTAACTAATGCTCTTCTAACAAACCTTATAGGAAAAGTTTATCGGATAGCATCTGTAAGAAATCAGTTAACTCATGACTGTGATAGGATAATGCTGGCACATGAACAAATGGTTTTGAGAATTTGGCTGGAAATTAGAATAAAGTCTCTACTCTCCAGTGCAGTAAGTTCTGGTAATAGGCTTCCAGCAGAAGCAATCAGGGAAAAAAAGCACTTACCCCTAAAATGGAGATTGGCCTGGTCATGAAAGGGACATGGTGTGGCTGCTTATGCTAGTAGGGGACTCCGTTTAGTGACCCCAGAGGTCCTTGACAGTCCTACAGTTGAATGAAACCTTGCAAGTACAAACAGGTCATGCTGGGTTACTGGCAGCTCTTTGGGCTCCAGCCCTTTTGATTAGCTCTAGCTAATTAGAAAGTGGAGGGTGACAGGTGCAGGCTCTCTCATTTTGGTTTTGTGTGCTGCCAGAGCAGTGATCCTCTGCCCTGTAGGACTCATAGAAATGTGATTTCTATGTAGTTACACTCCATGAATGTATATATCTTTCTTTGATGTATAAAAATGTCTAGAGGAACCCTGAAACTAAGCAGTTCCCACATTTTCAGTAGCCAACACAGGAGCTCATCTGAACAACTTTAAGGGAAAAATTAATGTCTCAGTGCCATCTTGTGGAGTGACCAGCTTAAAAGGAGCAAGCAGCAGCAAGAGGCACATCCAATGATCCATGAAGCTATCCTAGAAGCTTGTTTAAGTTCTAGGAAATTTGATGGTAATATTTGGGATTATGCTGCAAATATTAGCATCAAACCAAATATTTCTATTGCAAACTGGTATTGCCTTTTTCCCTGTGGAGATTGCAAGTTCATGTGAGCGTGGTGTTCCCAAAAAATACCTGTCCCTTTTTCAGTCAAAATTAGAATATGGAGATGCCTATAGCTAATACTGGAATGCAAGAGACAAAGCCTTTTAGAGAAACAGCAGTTTTCCTGTTTGCTCACACAGAAGGAATCCACTTAGAAGGCTCCCTGAGAATTAGGAGTGAAAACTGAAGTTGTAGGTGCAGTTGTGAGGGACCCATTCACACCTTGTCCATCTGAGAAAGGCTGTGAGATCTCCAACACATGCTGCTGACTGGACCTCAGCCTGACATGTCAGCTGGAAATTACCATGTGCAGAAGAAACTCTTGTCACCACCCTGCCCTCGTGCTCCAGTGCCCATTTTTGTGTGCTCCACCAACAAACATTTGAATGGCAGAGACTGAAGCGACCTGGAAAAAATTGTCATCCACTTTTTCTGTGCCACAGCATGGCTCACAGCCTCCTAGGACAAAAAGCCTTCCCACCCAGAAATATTCTGTAGGAACAGCCTTGCAAAAAATGCAATTATTTGTTTGGATGGTCCTTATATCAGAGACAGACTAGCAATTTACTGCATATTTAGTCAGGCATTCACTGAGGTCAATAGCTAATCTGTCTCTGGGGGAGGGCTTACTTCAGTCCATAAACACTTCCACTGGATATACAGTCTTGGCAATGGTCCACAGTGGAGCTGTAAGAACACATGGTGAGCAGGGAGATAAGCAGAGGGAATCTGGAGATGGAGGAGGAATCATGACAGTGAGGGCTCTGCTCTGGCAGCTAGATGAGATTGAAGGTCTGTGGGGACCATTGCCAAGACTGGCCTCTCCCTGCCCTCTATGAGAGGACAGACCAGGTTGCTGGTGGGGAAGTTCTTCACCAGTGTGATGGGAGCTGTGGACACAGCTGTATTTAGCTACAGCAAATGCTCTACTTGAAGCAACCTCGTGGCACTGGGCTCTTCCCAGCTGCAGGCAGGGTTGCACACTAGTTCCAGGCAGAGCACCACTGCAGGCGGAGCATCCAAACAGTCCTGCAAAGCACACAGAAATTATCCAAATCCCACCTGTTTAAAAAAAAAAAAAAAAAAAAAAGAGAATAAAGCACCAGACAATTAGCCAGCAGGTTACAATGCAGTGCACAAAGTTCTTGTTCAGTGCCCATGAAAAAGGTTAGGAGAACGACAGAGGCTGTAGGAACACACCAAAGCTCTTCAGAGCTTCGCTACCCTGGAGACAGGCTGCTCCTGGGCACAGGATTTGCTGTCCCCCAGTTGCAGAAATGTTGCATCTTGACCATATAGTTTAAAAAGCATGAGATGTGTGTGGGGGAAGACTTGGAAGCTGGCTGCTACTTTATTGGCTTGTTCATCGTTAACCAAATGAATGAAGGTGTCTGGAGGTGGAGGGAGGGAGCCAAGTCTCAAAGGGTAACTGGGCTCAGTGCTACGAAGTGTGGTGTCACAACAGACACTCCTGCAGCTGCAGGCCAAAGCCAGAGAGCAGTATGCTGGAGAAGATTCGGAAGTCGCTCACGATTCGTAACACCGTCATCAGGGAGCTGCTGGCAGAAGCTCTGGGGATGTTCATCCTCATGGTAAGGAGGAGATGGGCCCAGGTGTGAGTGTCTGTGCACGTGCATGTGTATGCGGGCTGAGTGAGAAGCATTTGCAGCAGCATTTTGTGAGGTCAGTGGTTTCCTACAACATCCTCAGGGTTGCTCAGCAGCTGCTTGCTGCTGCTCACCCCTCTGCTCTGATGGGACAGCAGCTTCCCAGTAGGTAGACCACCTGTCAAAAAACTTCTGGAGGAAAAAATCAGTGTGATGAGTGAGAGGTGAACACTGGGTCAAGGTGAAGCAGGTGGGGATGAGCAGCTGTTTCTCTTCCAGGAGAAAAACAAGGAAGAGTCCGGGAACTAAACCAAAGAGCAGTGTCTGGTCAAAGCAATGCTTGTGCCAAAGCCCCTGAGAGATCCCATGCAGTGAATTGAGGCTTTTCTTCCTCCTGTGCAGAGGTGATGGTGTGGTTGGGGGATCCTGCACAGGTCTGGGGAGTAGACCCTGACTCCTCTACCACTAACAGCCTCTGTGAAATGTGAACATCATTCATTCATCTTGCTCTTGGGGTTGTCAGGGTAATGAGAGCCTGTGAAATTCTCCAGAGTCACAACCCACAATTAGGAAATATGATTACTATGTGCAAAGCATGACAGGATTTTGCTTTTGGTTTCCTTATGCTGACAAATGAATAGTGCTTATCCAATCATACAGAATCTCCCCCCTGGCATGAGGGTATTTTTTTTTTTTCATGCAGAAAAAGTGTTTTTAAGCTCTCCGGCTTCTTTGGGTGTGTTTGGGGAGAAGGTGAGGAAGGCTTCACAGTAAGAATTAATCCCTTGGTGGAGGTGCCCACCAGGACCAGAGCCTTCATCTGTTGGACCAGCACAGCAAAATGGGATCCTTCCTCTGAAAAGGTCCATAAAGTGTCTGTGCCAGCTTTATACAACTTGGACTTAGCTTGCAGACCCTCTGGGCTGGGAGAGATACCTTGGACTGGACAGAGGCTGGCATGGAAAGGCTGGGGATAATCCAAACAATTAGTACTTGGAGATTTGCAGAGGAAACTAAGCGTGGTGTAAGCATGGGCATCTTTTGATACAAATGTCTGTACAGATAAAGATGCTTATTTTCAAGGGCACTAACTGTATGTGCAAACTATGCTTGCATTTTATCACATGCTATTGCACATCCAGCTCCTTGAAGTTCACCCCTTACTACATGGGTAGTTTTGCACACTTTGGATTTCAGAGTATAGCCATCTGTGACTCCTCAGCTGAAGCTAAGCAAATGCTTTGCCTTTTCCATTTCTTTTGTATTTTGGTGGTAGAAGTTTTCAGGTGGTGAGGTTCTGGGGTGTCCTACCAGGGCTGTCTCTGGGGAGCAGCATAAGAGGGAGACTTCTCTCTGCATCTGGTAGTCCAAGGTAGATTTTGGGGCCTGCAGCTCACATTGGCTCTTCCTTCACTTATCCCTGTGAGAGAACAGAGTAATAGGAGTGGCACGGCACAGGGACCCTCATCAAGGATTGGCCACAAAGAGCACCCAGCATCTGAAAGTAGCTTCCTATATCCAACTATTTAGCTGGAGGTATCTCTGGGATGCCTGGACGACTGTTGTTTGGATGATAGCACTCAGCCAGGGCTCCAGCCAGGACAGGCAATGTTTATAAAGAAAAGAACTAGGCAGGGAGTTTAAACAGGACAAGGAGGACAAGCAGAAAACAAAAAAAAGAAAGCTGATTTTGGGGCTGTGTTTGGAACAGTACTGAAAAACAAATTCTCTATCCCGTCCTGTGTTTTTCCTGAGGATAGTGTTGTTCACCTACCACAGACATGTCTCCTCCATGTCTTCTGCTCTGCACCCCTCTCTCTGCATGTGCAAAACCTGTGCTTTATGCTTTTGGCTTCTCTTGGATGTGGCTTTGCAAAAGCTCAGAGATGAGCAGGCAAAGTTTTTATAAGGGCTTTGCAGATGCTAGGGGACATCCCAGACACTGCTTTTGGGGGCTTTTGTGGAGGCAGACTGAGATAAGAAGTCACACCCTGCAGGTGTCACACCCATGCAGAGCATGAAATGGGTCTGTGTATACAAGAGAGATAAGAACAGTGTCTCTGGGTAACAGGATTTTGGTGATGTCTGAATGGGAAGAGAGAGTGCAGATGCATGACATAAAATTTGGATCCAGGTAGAGCAGCCAGTAAAGATCTGAGTCAAAACAGGCCAGGCCAGAGCAGAAGTTTAGATGCTGGAGAATATACTGAATTTTTTGTCTTGGAAGGATATGTCACTCTGGATAAACATCAATGCAGTGCAAGGAGGAGGATACACTTTCTGAAGCATAAGTGGTTTGAAAGGCAGAAACCTCAAAATAAGCTTTCTTCTTCTCCAGATTTCAGTGTAAGAGTTGTGCAAAGGAGTGGCTTCTTCACCCTTTGACCACATTAAAAAAGTGAAATAGATTTTACTTTCAGGCCAGAGTAATTTCTTGAGTATGTTTTTTTCCCCGCTTGAAAGTGTTAATTTTTCTTTTTGCTTATTTTTTCCTGGCTCTCCTTTAGTTAATAAAACTTTGGCTGTTTTCAGACTGAAAGTGTATGTGTTGAAAGGAAAAGTCAAACCAGAATTTCCTTGCTTGTTGTTACCAAAATTAGAGTGGAGTTTGGCAAATAGCTAGGTGCTACCCAAACTACGTTTTCAGTCAGTATTGCACAGCAGGAAAACAAAAATAACAAGAATTTGCCCATCCTCCTTCCATCCAGGTTGGGTACGGCCTCTGGATGTTCTGTGGTGATGGTCCCTAGGATCATGTCCCTGGCTTCAGGCAGGTGTCCTTACCATGGCTGTGTAAGTGATCCCCTGTGAGCCCTGGACCTTGGTGCAGATGTTTGGAGTTTGTCTCCCTACAACCAAACCATGACTAAATTGCTTGGTTAGGTGTGATGGGCACCACTGAAGAATAATCCAGTTGTCCAATGTCCAGTTGTCACTTCATCTCCTGACTGAGAGCAACTTAGAGTAATCCCATCTTTGTGAACTAATTAATATTGCAAGGAAGCTCAGTCCACCACACTAATAACACTACTTTTAACATTCTTTCTTTTTCCATACGATAGATTTTCGGCTTGTCTACTGTGGCACAAGTAGTATTAGGAAGAGGAGCCTCTGGGGAACACCTGAGCATCAATATGGGATTTGGCATTGGTGTTATCTTGGCCATCCATGCAGCTGGAGGAGTTTCTGGTGAGTGGGACCCTTGAGCATAGGGCATCTCTTTGCCCCGTGGAGGCCACGTGGGTCAGAGGCAGCACAAGTGGGCTGTGGAGGGGCAAGGATGGAATGGCAAGGCAGGACAGTGCCCTCACCAGAAAAAAATGCAGTCCTAGGCTCCCCCAGCAAGAAGAGCAGGGGAGGTCTGGTGACTGTATCCAGGGTCACCCTCGTAACCCAGTGACCAGAGCCAAGTCTGCAGGCAGAAGGCTGGTTTGAATTCAAGCCAAGGAGTTGTAATGGCACAGCAAGGCATACCTACAGTATGTTGAGCCCAAATGCATGTTCTGAGCTGAGACAGGGGTAAGAGGAACAGGGGGAGCCAGCCGTTCCCTCCTGTTGTTTAGCAAAGCCAGGTTTCAGCATTGCTCCCCACTACGTGCTTGTGTTATGTGATCATGGCCCAAGGAGACAAGGAGTTCTAAAAACATGTTGCCAGTCTGACACATGGGGAAGTAAATAATTTATTGCAAAGGAGAGCTTACTGCTGATGTGGCAACAAGGAATGGTATGCAAATTTTCTCCTTATCATCCACACCCATGTGCACATGCCCCATGTGAACTCGGGAGGTGGTTGTGGGTTCATGGGTGGTATTTCTCACATGACAGGTCATTACCTTTGCCTTCCGCAATTTTTGCATTCATTAGCACTGAGAGAAGAGATTAAGGGCTCTAGTGTGCAGAAAATAAAAGCGCTTCCTTTCTCCTGAACTGTTGGAGCAGAAAGATGTCCAAGGTTGGGGCTGACTTGGAAAGAAGTTTTTACTCCACACAAGAGGTCAGCTCTTGGTCTCCCTGTCCTTTTGGAGCTGATGAAAACATTTGGGAAAAAGTGGGATGAAGAAAGTAGGTCCCTGCAGTCCCATGTGACATTTGAGATGAGGCTAATCTGATGGCTGTGATGTGGGAGGAAGAGTCTAAGGTCAGCCAGCAACAGGCTGGCTCTGGGGCCAGTTTAAGGGCTTCCTGGCATTGTGATTTGGCCTAGTTGTGTCACAAGGTGATTCTTGTGATCTCTGAAATGGCTGGCCATGCCTGCAAAGGATCAGAGAATCAAAGAAAAAGGGGTCTGCCTCCATTTCAGTTGTGGCTGTGGGGCTGTAACAGGCGGTACATGCACACTCTCTTCAGTCTGTCCTGGACTTTGATGACATATGGTTCTGTTCTTAATCATTTAGCTTCCCAAGGAAAATGGGTCAGTTTTGAGTATGTGCAGGAGGGAGACACCCTACCCTGGGACAGCTTTGGTGTCCTGGAGCAAGATCTGGCCAGATTACTGTGGGGTGTGGGGCACGCTTCAAAACAACATGGGTCAAGGGTACAATCTTTTGCTTTGATTTTGCAGGAGCTCATCTGAATGGTGCCATCACCCTCACACACTGCATTTTAGGAAATCTCCCCTGGAGAAAGTTCCCTGCTTACCTGGCTGGCCAGTGCCTGGGGTCCTTCAGTGCAGCAGCTGTTGTCTTTGCTCTTTATTACGGTATGGGTGTGTCTTTATCCCAGGGGTTGCAGTGGGCACTACTTCAGTCTTAACTCACACTTCATTGCCTGGAGAAGACAAGGCTCTGGGGATACCTTATTGTGGCCTTTCAATACTTCAAGGGGTCTTATAAGAAGGATGGGGACACACTCTTTAATAGGGCCTGTTGCAATAGAACGTGGGGTAATGGTTTTAAACTAAAAGGAGGTAGATTTAGGCTAGGTATAAGGAATAAATTTTTTATTATGAGGGTGGTGAAACACTGGAACAGGTTTCCCAGAGTGGTGGTAGAAGCCCCTTCCCTGGAAACATTTGAGGTCAGGTTGAATAGGGCTCTGAGCAACCTCATCTCATTGAAGACAGTCCTGCTCATTGGTGGGGTTTGGATTAGATAACTTTTAAGGGTCCCCCCAGCCCAAACCACTCTACAGTTTGTCAGAAATATTTCCTTTTACAGTACCCAGCATGATACTGGTATGAGGAGGGTGAGCTCCTCGCCAGTGGGACAGACCTTCATAATTCAAATCCACCACAGGCCCCAGGTATTTCTGGGAAGGATTTGCAGAATCCTGGAGAATAGAATGCACATCCTGTCTTTTGCTTTGATTTTGCAGGAGCTCATCTGAATGGTGCCATCACCCTCACACACTGCATTTTAGGAAATCTCCCCTGGAGAAAGTTCCCTGCTTACCTGGCTGGCCAGTGCCTGGGGTCCTTCAGTGCAGCAGCTGTTGTCTTTGCTCTTTATTACGGTATGGGTGTGTCTTTATCCCAGGGGTTGCAGTGGGCACTACTTCAGTCTTAACTCACACTTCATTGCCTGGAGAAGACAAGGCTCTGGGGATACCTTATTGTGGCCTTTCAATACTTCAAGGGGTCTTATAAGAAGGATGGGGACACACTCTTTAATAGGGCCTGTTGCAATAGAACGTGGGGTAATGGTTTTAAACTAAAAGGAGGTAGATTTAGGCTAGGTATAAGGAATAAATTTTTTATTATGAGGGTGGTGAAACACTGGAACAGGTTTCCCAGAGTGGTGGTAGAAGCCCCTTCCCTGGAAACATTTGAGGTCAGGTTGAATAGGGCTCTGAGCAACCTCATCTCATTGAAGACAGTCCTGCTCATTGGTGGGGTTTGGATTAGATAACTTTTAAGGGTCCCCCCAGCCCAAACCACTCTACAGTTTGTCAGAAATATTTCCTTTTACAGTACCCAGCATGATACTGGTATGAGGAGGGTGAGCTCCTCGCCAGTGGGACAGACCTTCATAATTCAAATCCACCACAGGCCCCAGGTATTTCTGGGAAGGATTTGCAGAATCCTGGAGAATAGAATGCACATCCTGGATGTGAAGTGTTCCTGGAGAACACTCCTTTTTGCTTAGGGTATTTCCACTGCCAAACCCTGTCCTCAACTCAAGGCCAGCAGCTGCATTTTGTCAGCATTTTGCTTCTAGGCTCTGCGAGAGCTTGAGTTATATGGACTACCATGTATTAGGTAAATCTGGAGTGCTCAGGGACTGTGCTGGTCTATGGAAACAGGACAGCAGTCATCTGTGGTTTAGAGTTTTGGGCAAAGGACACACCATTTATTGCCTCCAGTATGGCTCAGTCTCCAAGAGGCAGAGGGATGGAGGCCTTCAGCACATCCAGAGCGTCCAGTGTGCCCCAGGATCCTACAGCAGGGCCAGGGAGCTGGTAGGTGTAAGGGAGCAATTGCAGGCCAAAGAATTTGGGTGACAGATACCAATGAGGTCATGCCCTGTAAGGCATGTGTCACCTACATCATACATCACATTGCCTCTCTTCCCCATGGTGTCTGTGCTGGCTGCAATAGCTTGACTTTGGTAGGTGCCATGTGGGATGAACTCTGTACTAATTCCCGTATTTCCCATTTCTCCTAGATGCTCTGCATGATTACAGCAATGGGAACTTTACAGTGATAGGACCTAATGCCACAGCATCTATCTTCTGCACTTACCCTGCCGCCCATATGTCTTTTCTGGGGAGCATCTTCACAGAGGTCAGTGGAGATTGCTGTGGTGTTCTAGAAGGTGGTTGGTAATGGGGGCTATTGCAGGTCTGTGACAGGGGACCCACATTGCTATGTCCAAGGAGCCCACGGCCCAGGCAGATGTCTGGATCCAAGGCACATGCCTGGTTCCAAGGCACCGTGGTGGGTGAGGAAGCCCAAAAGCTTATGCCTGCAGGCTGCTCTGCAGCTTGGTCCGAATGCCCTCCAAAATCTTCCCTGCCCAAGCAAAGGGAAGTGAGAAGCTGAGCTATATCAGGAACTATCTACCTCCTTTGGGTTCTCGGCAGTTCCCTGAACTGTTCAACTTTTTGAAACCTATACCCTCTCCAGCTCTGCTGGCTGCCCCTCAGTGGCACAGAGGGCGTGGAACTGTCTTCACTTGAACAGAGCCTGTCTGGATTGAACCTGTGGGGTTTGAACAGTCCACTATAGACTGTGTACAGTTGATTCCTGGCATTCAACATAATGTCCAGATGCTCAGAAATTGAAAGGGGATATCTCAGCACTGGCACACTGGAGAAGGAATATTCACTTACAATTCAGATCTGAGGAAGCCTATGAGCTGATATGCTATTGCCTGGGCATGATGATGGGGACAGTGAGAGCTGGAAAGCTTATGGATGGGGACCTGTGGGAAACCCGAGTACCAGCTTGCGACAGAACCTAATCACTCAGTCTGCTGTGAAGCATGCAGAATTCTTGCTGCACAAGGAAACAAACTACAGAGACAGTGTGTTTGCAAGAGTTGCAGAGTTTCTGCTTTTGCTGGCATCTCTGCACACAGCCCAAGGCTCTCTGGCTGTATTTTCTGAAGCAGAAAGAGACAGGAGTCATCACCTCTATTCAAAGTACAGCTCCTGACATCCTGGGCACTGTAGATCTACAAACATCAGCTACATCCTGTCACAGATGGAAGATTCAGTTTCCCAGATGAGAATGTGGCATCTGCTGCTAATTCTGAAATGGCTGATTTAACAGGCTATATAAAACATTACTCCCACTAGGGAGGATGAGATTTCTCTCACTAGTGGTTTGTTAAGGTTCTCCCTTTGTTAGATGAAATGGACTCAGTGCTGAGAATTTTTCTATCAGTTCTAGAGCATTTCTGGTGATGAGATGGACAAGTTTTTCCTAGGAAATGAGTCAAGACTTTTCTTCAGTTAACTTGTGAAGAAGAAATAACATTGAGGTTCTTCTTGACTTGATCAGACCATGAATCCCACCTGCTCTTCCATCCCGGAAAGTCTCTTCCTCTCTACTAAGCAGGATCCTTCTACCTTCCCTATTCTCTCTTCTGACCTGTTTCCCTTCCTTGCTCCTACAGTTTCTGGCGACTGTGATGCTGCTCCTGGGCATTCTGGTCATCCATGACGAGAAAAACAACGCAGCCCTTAAGGGCACACAGCCCCTGCTCACGGGTTTACTGGTCATGGGCATTGGCATGGGGATGGGGATGAACACAGGCTACGCCATAAACCCCTCTCGGGATCTGCCCCCCAGGATCTTCACAGCACTTGCTGGCTGGGGAATGGAAGTCTTCACGTGAGTGACCAATTTTGCTTTTACACAGCTCAGCTTGCAAGGAGAGTAGATAAGCCCAAGATAAAATGGTCATAAAGCCTTTTTCTTTGGACCAAGTGATGGTATCGCTACAGAATACATTTTCCACTCTCAGAGATCAGGGGTTGTGCATAGAGGAACTCTCCTCATTATGTACACAAAATTTGGGGTACCCTTATTCTCCAGCATGGGATTCATCATGGGATTCATCTTGACATTCAGATACATCAATCTGGGCACCAAATTTGCTACCTGTTAGCTGGAGGTCCAACTGATTATTGCAGTAACTGGCGAGCCAGAGAGTGATTCAGCTCACCTGAAAGCAGGTACTTACAGCTGGATTGCTGAATAGCTGAATTTAGATGTCTGAATCTGGAGATGAAATTTGTTGTCCTGCCCTACCTAGTAAGATGGTGCCATGGCTTTTACCATGGTGAAGTCAGTAGCAGTCTCCTAACCTGGCTGCTAATTTTCATTACATTTTCAGAAAATATTTTGAGAGCTTGGTAAAGGAGGTGCAGATGTTACTGGAAATGTGAAGAAAAAGGGTGTGTGGGTGTGTGTGTCTGTCTGACAGTCACACACATCAGGATCACATGGATTGTTTCTGTAGGAGAACAAGAAACCTGCAAAAAATGTGAATCCACCTTCTCAGCCCTATGGGGAAAATGAGAATTTGTTTAAGCCAGTTGTAGACCCCAGTGTGTGATGTTGATCTAGATGCCTCAGCTCACACAGCTCTCTCCTGCCCCAGCAGAATCAGGTCACCACACCCTGTGCTATGCAGTAGCTGGGCATTTGTTTGTCTGGCTCACCAGCTGCATTTTCTGTGTTTCCTTTTAGGGCTGGAAATCACTGGTGGTGGGTCCCACTTGTAGCTCCAACATTGGGAAGTCTTGCTGGTGTTTTAGTTTACAAACTCCTCATTGATTTTCACAACGAACCTCTGCTGGAAAGTGAGAAAGGACAGCTTGAGGTGGAGACCTCCAAGCTGTGATGGCCGCATGCTCTGAGGAAAGAGCTTGACAAAAAAGCCTACATGGACATATGGATTGACAGCCAAAGGGTAACCAAGTGGATAACAGGATGTGCAACAGTGCTGCAAGTGGATAAAAGAGGCACTAGTATTCAATAAACCTATTCTGCTTACCCAGACAAATTGGGTCTCTAAGAGACTTGGCAGACTTGGGTAGGGCGAGACCTGTGACCTGAGGAAATTATTCAATCTTTCTGTGTAAAAATAAAAAAACCCCACAAAATAATCATCACATTCTGGAGAAAAGCAAAGCAAAGCTGCGAGACACCAGATACCTGTGTGTTCACAGAAATTAAAATAGAGGATCCAATAGTAGCAGAAATGACTTAGGAAATTTTGATTGGGAATATTCTTTGGCAAGAGGAGATGCTACACTAATGGATCAGAAGCCTAGGCTTACTTCCATTTGCTAACCTGCCACCCTAACAAACACCTAATTTGGCAGAGCACAAAGAGAAAAAGAGCAAGGACAATGTGAAACAGAAACCTGAACCTGTTTTGGGTTTGGCTTTTTTGTTCGTTTGTTTTTCATGCTTTTTTTGTTCATGTGTGTGACTGTGTGTGTATGCTTTTTGATCTGAATGCAGATCCATTCTGAATGCACAGGGAACATGGGAGGGGCTGCAGTGCTCCTGGAGGAATTCTGCAACCTTCATCTGAATAAGGATGTGGGCCTGCACTAGTCTTACAGGTTTGAGGTGTCATCAGACTAAAGCAGTATCAGAAACTACCTGTTCCTGGGGGAGTGACAACAGTTTCAACTTTTCTAGAAAATTCTTAAGCAAGTATGATGTGTATGTCAAGCATGCAACTGCAGTCCCCCAGGGCTTGGTGCCAAGAACACTCAAGATGGGAATATCTGAAGGTAGGAAGTGACAGCACATTACTACTGCACAGAACTCCTGAAAATGGCATTCCCTGGCTTTAATGATCACTCACATCTCACTGTTTAAAGGATTACTAATGTATTACTGTGGCATGGGATGGTAAATACTGACATTTCTGCTTCCCCATTGGAGCTAACCTTAGATTAGAGCAGCTACAGCTGATCTTCACCAGGCACAAGACACACATCAGCTTAAGAGGGCTGAAGAGCATTATAGGATTTTCTCGTTTGCGCGTGGCAGAGGGTGGCTGCCAGGCAATGCTGCAACGACCCCTGTGGGTGGGCCATGGGTAGTGCTGGAAGCCAGCACAGCACACACAGAGCTGGGGGCTGGTGGCTGCAAGGATTTTGAATAGTGAGTGCAGGACAGAAGTGGAATAGCTGTCACAAAGCTCTTTTGGTCTATGGGAACTAAACTGGGAACTTTGCAGTGGCTCAAGATAGGATTAAGTAAGACATTGTCAACCATCCCTTCTCAGTGAGAGATTGTCCACTGCAATAAAATAGCCCCCAAAATTCAGCTTGCATCCTACTCTTACCAGATGTCCTTGTGTATGCACGCCCAACAACATCTTTAAATACCCAATCACTCTGGAGAAAAATACTTAAATCTTTATTAAAATACTATTAAGAACTTACAGAGTGGCTTTGTCTTTCTGAAGGCCATATAAACACTTGTGAAAGCCTCACAATGTCCCTGTCGGGTAGGTTTGCCTTATGTAATTATGTGACTGCTTCACAAATAAAAGATGACGCAGTTTAAATAATAAATGTTTATTTGAAGATGGTGACTTTGATGCTCCTGTTCAGGCACAAATGTGTTAGTTGCTACCATGTGTTTCCAGCACATCTAAGAAGACAGAATGGCATAGAAAAGTAATGGAAAAAATCAGCTGTAACTGAAAACCAACAGTGAATAGGTTAAAGTGCAGTTCTAACCTGAAAACTTACAGTACAGAAAACAGCATCAGGAGCTTCTAAGGCTGTAGGATCTCAGTTTCCCCTGGTCAGATCCTGCCCAACTGAAAAGTGAGAAACGCTGTTTGAATGGTCAACTTTGCAAATTACTGTGTGACAAACCAAGGGGTCCTGTTAGCTTACAGGAAACTTAACACCACTTGACCCACCCTGGCTCAGCAGTTCCCACAAGAGGAGAAAGCAGAGGTAATAAGAGATCTTGCACCTTCTGGCAAACTTCATGCATATTAAGAAGGACACCACATGGATGTCACTATCCAAAAAGATATGGCGCAAAGGCCAAAAGTCCATCTGGGCTGCAGAGCAAGCAGGTAGGCCAATGCAGAGACATAGAAGCTCCAGGTCCCTTTCCACCATGAATCTCAAAGCAGAAGTAGGAAGGAGCACAGGAAAGTGCAGAGTTTTCATTCTGTTTGAAGCAGAAGACACTTCTTTGTTCAGAGGGTTCCAGCCTGCTCCCAAAGCATGCAGGGTCAGGATAGGTTTCTTTCAAAGGAGATGGCAGAAATATCTTCATACACTGTATTTCAGTATGGGTCTATTAAAGTAACAGGGACTTAGGTTTGCTTTCATTTCACTGCTGTAGCTGCACAGGAACAAAAGCTTCCTTACACAGCAGCAATGTCAAGGGCTTCTTCATGCCCTCTGAGAAGTACATGCTACAAGTAGCAGAAGGGAATAAAATCAACATCCCAAGTTTTTTTATCTCAGAGTCTCCAGGAATGACATCCCTCCTGTGTCAAAGCACATTGTGGCTGTATTTCATGCAAATGCTGGAACGTGTGTTCCATGGGCAACT